CCCTCAGCGCTGGCTCAGCCCGACTCTTCAACCCCCCCAGGGATCCCGGGGACTCCCCCCTGCCCTGGGCAGCCCATTCCAACGCCCAACAGCCCCTTCTGCACAGAAATCCTTCCTCAGAGCCAGCCTGACCCTGCCCTGGGCAGCTTGAGGCCATTCCCTCGGGGCCTGGCGCTGGGGCCTTGGCTCCAGAGACTCATCCCCCCTCTCTGCCCCCTCCTGGCAGGGAGTTGCAGAGGGCCAGGAGGTCTCCCCTCAGCCTCCTCTTCTCCAGACTGAACCCCCCCAGTTCCCCCAGCCGCTCCCCAGCAGACCTGTGCTCCAGACCCTGCCCCAGCTCCGTTGCCCTTCTCTGGCCACGCTCGAGTCCTTCAATGGCCTTTTTGGGGTGAGGGGCCCAAAACTGAACCCAGGAATCGAGGGGCGGCCCCTCCGGGGTGTCACAAAAGGATAAAGGAGCAAAAACATAACACAAGACAAAAAGGCAATGTTTCCCATACAATCTGTAGCTCAGAATCTAAGTTTGTTTTGGTGACCAGGATTACTATTGCTATAAACAAATTTACGGTTGCTTAGTTCTAGAGTAGAACTATTGTATTGTTAAGATTTATGATCAACAGAATGGTGATCTGAAATTATGCTGTAGAAAGTACCTATTTTCAAGTCCTTTAGGTAAACTTAGCTCATTTTAATAGCACAACCACTCCTCTATAACTTAAGTTGCCCACCTCTTCAGGAAGACCCCACTCTTCAAGCACAAGTACATTAATAGGTAGATACTGCAACTTTAAAGGAATAAAATTAGCAAAGAGATGATATTGTGATAAAATACTAACAAACACTTATGCGTAGAGATGTGTGTTTGTGTGTGTGTTTGGAACTTGGTGTGCTGCCACTGTGGCTGCCCAGTACCCTTTTCTCTGCAGAGCTGTCATAAATATGAATTTATTGTCTCTGTGTTTTAAGTGGCTCTTTGCACACTGGGTGAAGAACCCTGGTTTTGGGATGAGGAGAACACAGAGTGCTGTCCCTGCACTACCCCAGACCCCACAGCCTGAAGAGCTTTGGTAACAAGAGGGACAAAGAGGCGTGTCCCCACTTTGCCTTCAGTTAGTGACAAGCAGGTAGAGCAGAAGCCCGATGACCACCATGGCTCGCAGGAGCACCTCAACCAGGAGCAGCAGCACACCGACGACAACGATGGCCAGCAGCTCTGCCCAGCTCACCAGCGCTGCCAACTCCATAGAGGCTCTGTGAAACAAGGGAGAAGAGGATGAGAGCAGGGAGCAGGACTTGGGTTAAATTCTTCAAACTTCAGATGGGACACCTCTCCTCATGCACAGACCCAAAACTGCATCTTCATGTATTAGGGATGCTCTGTTTACACAGCCCCACGCCAGAGACGCTCCACCCTTCTGTGTCCCACAGATTAAGAAATGTCGTGACCTCCCTGTTACAAAACCAGTAACAAAACCGAAAGCCACTGGGGCCTGATTTTCAGTGCTGGAGGAAGCCTTGAGAGGTGACCTGTTCCCATGTTTCTCAGGCAGTTGCCTGCAGATCTCTAGTGGGAGAAGGGTCACAAATCCCCACCTTGGAACACATATTCCTCCTCACACACACAAATGAACAACACATGAATCCACCTCTCCAGGACCCCAGACACTGGCTCCATGTACCAATTCTTTATCAAAATTCTCCACTCCCAACCTCTGTGAAGAGTTCTCCATACACCCACTTTCTTCTTTCCTGCTGAAGCACACACAGTTTATCCAAGCTGCAGACTATGGAAAGCATCACAGAGCTTAAATCAGTGTACACTGAACGGTGTGACCATAGGCTGGGCTTGTCTTTCCCACACCTCAGCAGGGTTTGCTGCACTGCCAGGATAGACTAGGACCCCATGGCTGAGAAAACACCTGTCCTTGGCCTAAGAAGCTCAGAGCTTCTAACAAAGAAGCTTGAATTTCACTGCAAAGCACCTTACTCAGGCAGCTACTGGCTATTAATGCATTCAACTTACTTCTACATGTTTTCTTCCTGGCTAAGCATTGGTGGGTTTGTGTGAGCAGGTAACCATGAGAGAGGAAGACAAAGTCTTGCTACTGAGCTAAACAATTTAAGGGGAAAAAAATCACAGAATCATCTGGGTTGGAAAAGCCCCTGAAGCTCCTCCAGACCAACCATGACCCTCCCCCTGACCGTTCCCAACTCCCCCAGATCCCTCAGCGCTGGCTCAGCCCGACTCTTCAACCCCCCCGGGGACTCCCCCCTGCCCTGGGCAGCCCATTCCAACGCCCAACAGCCCCTTCTGCACAGAAATCCTTCCTCAGAGCCAGCCTGACCCTGCCCTGGGCAGCTTGAGGCCATTCCCTTGGGGCCTGGCGCTGGGGCCTTGGCTCCAGAGACTCATCCCCCCTCTCTGCCCCCTCCTGGCAGGGAGTTGCAGAGGGCCAGGAGGTCTCCCCTCAGCCTCCTCTTC